TTTGGTTAAAGTGCTTTACCTCAAGGGTTGAGATATTTTGAATGGATTTTTCAAGGGGGGAAAATGCTTATTATAATTAAAACCAAAATACTTAACAGAAAATCGTCAGATATTCTGACAAAATTAAACATTTTGAGAGACTTTGTTCCTTTTTTCTGTTTCTGTGGTATCACTCTAAATAAGTAAAGCTTTTTATATTAGGCGAGAATTGATTTTATTTTTTAAATTATATTTATTAGCACAGAAGAATAATGAGAGCCACATTTTAGTTTAACTTATTGTGTCAGCTTTGATTAAAGTCAAGATGGTAATCATTGAGAAGGTGCATGTCTAATAGGTAATTTTAATAATTATGAGACTTCAAGTTTTTGTCTCCAAGGGTGTAGAGTGGAGAAACCCAACAACTCATTACAGTTTTGCTAAGATTTGAAGGGTTAAAAAACTTATTTCCTTATGATAGATGCCATACTTTTCCATATGGAGTAGTCAGAAGCCATGACATTTTTTGCATTCAGTTTTTCATTTTAATAACATTTGTTTTCTCACAGTATGGATCTAGTTCATAATGATTCAGATTCTTTTGCTGAAACACAATTAACATTGCAGGGAGCCTTCTGTACTACCGACACAACACGTCATTTGGGGTTCTAATTTTGTATCACTACAGCGATGGTACTGAAAATGACATGGGCATTGGAATTTGCCTAGAATCCCAGCCGTAGGTCCAAATGTGTATTTTGCAAGAAAATTTCAATGCTAATTTCAAAAAACACATTGATGAAGAGAAGGAAATGTATGAAGAAGGAAGTGGGTTAGCCCAGGAAATGAACAGTTGCCTCCGTAAGAGTTTATTCTGTCTGTGACTGTTTGGTTTTTCTCTCTGTGGGAGCCTTGAGAAATGATACTCAGAGAAGCCCATTTGAGGTCTTTCAAATACCCCCAACTAAATTTTAGTAGAAGGGAATCTGTACCACTAGGGACAGCAAAACATGAGCACAAATTCTGGTACCAACGAAAGAGGGAATTTTATTCTTAAAACAAGTATGTTATTAAATAGGATTTAACCAGTTGTATTTCTTCTTAAACATAAACTTGAAGGTATGAAATTCTTCCTGAAATTGTATCTATTGCATCTGTTCCCATAGATCCTTTAAGATTTTTCTTTAAAAAGGGGCTTGTTTCTTAACAAAAAGCTTTTTTTTTTTTTTGAGACGGACTCTCACTCTGTTGCCCAGGCTGGAGTGCATTGACACAATCTCAGCTCACTGCAGCCTCCACCTCCTGGGTTCAAGTGATTCCCCTGCCTCAGCCTCCCCAGTAGCTGTAATTACAGGTGCGCACCACCACGCCTGACTAATTTTTGTATTTTTAGTAGAGACGTGGGTTTCACCCTGTTGGTCAGGTTGGTCTTGAACTCCTGACCTCATGATCTGCCCACCTCAGCCTCCCAAAGTGCTGGGATTGCAGGTGTGAGCCACCACGCCTGGCAACAAAATGCTTTTAGAGAACCCTGTAACTTTTCGTTCTTCTATACTTTGGGCCTGGGGCAATTAGGATGACTTTAAACTAAAAACTCTTAATTTTTAAAACATGGGCAGAAATAATACAGCTTGTGTGGTTATAGACAATTTTTATAAAAATACTATGTACTTGCTTTAGATATATTATCTGTATATCTGAGGGGAAGAATAGTGGAGGTCTCACTATCATTGTTTTTAACATTATCAAACTTAAGATAATTTTAGAAAGTTGGACAACTGTAGTTTTTTTTGAAGATGAGGGGAGTCCTGAGGTATATGCATGAATTTTTGGTGAAACAGGACAGCTCATTTAGTTGTGGCTGAAACTCCACTGGAAATTTTTTTGGTTTGTTTCTTGTTTATTCAGCCTGGCTAATCTGAGCTTTCTCAGAGATTGTTTAGTGCTGAACTCAGCAACAAAAATCAGTTCTAGGAACTTGCCACTGCTCTGACAGTGCAGAGGAGAGCTTTGATTATATTTTGGAAGTAACTTCAGAGGTTTTGCTGTAATCTGAGCTTGCTGACAGGCACTGTGGCCTGAACTCCTTTCTAGCAATTGCACTCTTTAAATAGCAAATGCCTTCCAGCCACTTGGGCAGTGAGATAACTTGTTTAGTTGTAGGCCCAGGAGCCTCATGCAAAGAACAATTCTTATCAGGGGGTTCCTGTTTCAGTTTTCTTTCCGAGCTGTTTTGTTGCACGTTTTGTTGTTGGGCTGACATGTATTACAGCATTTCTTTATGAGCACCCATGGCTCCTCTTTTCAGTAGATAAATTATGCTATTACCTGAAGCGAAATGTTGAACGAAGCAATGGCGACTCCATTTTTCTAATCTTAAAAAAATTGTAAATAGGCTAGGCATGGTGGCTCACGCCTGTAATTCCCAGCACTTTGTGAAGCTGAGGTGGGTGGATCACCTGAGGTCAGGAGTTCAAGACCAGCCTCGCCAATGTGATGAAACACTGTCTCTAGTAAAAATACAAAAAAAATTTAGCTGGGCATGATGGTGGGTACCTGTAATCCCAGCTACTTGGGAAGCTGAGGCAGGAGAATCGCTTGAACCTGGGAGGCAGAGGTTGCAGTGAGCCAAGATCGCACCACTGCACTCCAGCCTGGGCGACAGAGAGAGACTCCATCTCAAAAAGGAAAAAAAAAGTTAGAAATAATGCTGAATATGAAAGTTTAGGTAATTTGCAGATAATTTAAAGATAGAGGGAAATGTAATTTCTCCACATAAGCCTTCTTCATAAATGGTTTTTTGTTTGTTTTTGAGATGGAGTCTTAACTCTGTCAACCTGCTAGAGTGCAGTGGTGTGATCTTGGCTCATTGCAACCTCTGCTGCCTGGGTTCAAATGATTCTCCTGCCTCAGCCTCCCGAGTAGCTGGGATTAGCTGGTCTTGAACTCCTAACCTCATGATCCACCCACCTCCATCTCTCAAAGTGCTGAGATTACAGGTGTGAGCCACTGTGCTGGGCCATAAATGTTTTTTATTGTGTAGAATTTCTGATTTACTAATTTTCTTATTGTGAGCGCTATATTTATCATCTTTGTAAATGATTATTTCTTTTCTGATAGACTGTGGAACCTAGCATTTACATCTGATCATCTGAATTCCCTATGGACTCAGACTCTGTATTTTTCTCTTGATTTTTATATCGTAAATATGTATATAGCAGGAAAATATTGTATAGCCGAACTTTCAAGTGTCCGATTACTAAAAGTTGAGGTTTGGGTATTGTAACAGATTCTGGTATCTCTATTTGCAAATATAGCTTTGGTGAACAGTTTTCCTATGTGAAGGAAAAATTGCAGACCACAAATTTATGGCTTCTGTTTCCTGATTTCTCAATAACAAGCTTTTACATCTGCCCTTCCCTTTAAATGACATAAAATTAAATAAAACTACCATTTATGAAATGTCTACTCTGCCAGTGCCTGTGCGAGACATTTTTATAGACATGACATCATTTGATCTTTACAGTAACCTTTGGCAAGGAACCTTAATGGCCCTATCTTTTTACAGAGACGCTGAGGTTTGAAGAAGTTAAGTAACTGGTTCAAGTTCACACTGCTTGAAGGTGGACACGTGGGTCTGGGGGATGCCTGAATCCACGCGCTGTGGCCTGCTGCCACAGTCAGATGTCGTCATTCACATTGTGTCAGAAAAATCTGCCGAAACAGAGCAGCTTCTTTCTAATGGAAGCCCTGAATGCAGACATCTAACAAATTCAGCATATCTGCTAATCAATTCATAATTTATTTAAAATGACCCTAAGAGCTTCTAGAGAAATTTTCATAAAACTTATAGTTCCTAGTCACCCTAAGGAAATATGATTTAATGAAGCAGATTTTACTCCCAAATTTCCAAAATTTCCTACCCTATGCACATTAGAGTATGAGTAAGTGTTAGAGAAGGAAAGATTAGCAGCTATGCACCTTGCTTTGAGTTTACATCGCTAAGTTCAGCAGTTCACTCAAGAGAGTCTGTCTGAGAACTCCTCACTTCTGTGTAACCATGAAAACAAATGCATCCCTGGGAAGGGTCAGGGGATGTGGTCTTACCTGAGTCTGGGAGCTCGATGCGTACATGGAGGTAAGTAACCTCATACTTCCCAGGCAGAGCTGCTGTGTGTGTCGCCGGTGGCCAGCTGCTTGGGTTTCCCTACAGGCTCAGCCTTTCTCTTGAGCTTGCACTGTTGGCTTCTGGGAGCTGGAGGGAGGACCTGGTTCCTGGCTGTGGCTGGAAAAGATCACTGAGGAAATCCAAAGGTGTGCATTAGCCTGACAGGAAGCAGGAAGGAAAGTAGAAGACAGAGACAAGGAGTGAAGAGGCTGAGCTGCAAGGGAAACATGGTTACCTTTTCTAAACCTTCCCTAGTTCTGACAGAAATCAGTAGTATGCTTCGAGAAGTAGTGAGGGGGATGGGCTTTGGAATCACAATGGGTTCAAGCCTGATTCTGCCAAGTGACCTGGGACAGGTTACCTAAACACCCAGATTCCTTAGCTGTGCGTTGGAGGAAGTGGCAGTAGCTACTGCCTAGAGTTAGACGATTAAATAAAATATATGCAGGTGACTTAGAATAGCTCCTGAAAAACTCTACTACTGAGCAGTTGCTCAGTTAACGTTGGGTACAACCATGGACCTGAATAAGGAAGTTTGCATTAAAAGCAGTTATGTGTGTTACGTGTTTTTCAGTTTCACCACCAATATTGAAAAGCAGAATTTCCTAAAATACTTTAAAAATGAGTGGAGGATAAGGATGTTGCCTTCCAGTCATTTAGGTTTCTTTATATGTGGTAGAGTTTTTCATTTTCTTTCTTTTTTTTTTTTTTTTTGAGATAGAGTCTCAGTCTGTCACCCAGGCTGGAGTGCAATGGCGTGATCTCGGCTCACTGCAACCTCCGCCTCCCAGGTTCAAGCGATTCTCCTTCCTCAGCGTCCTGAGTAGCTGGGACTACAGGTGCACACCACCACACCTGGCTAATTTTTGTGTTTTTAGTAGAGACAGAATTTTGCCATGTTAGCCAGGCTGGTCTCAAACTCCTGACCTCAGGTAATCCACCCACCTTGGCCTCCCAAAGTACTGGGATTACAAGTGTCAGCCACTGTGCCCAGCTGGCTGTTTCAATATAAATATACTTTATTTGAGTTACAGGGAAGAGGTATATAACTGGAAAAGACTTGGTTATTATTGTTATTAGAGTAATTCAAAGATAAAGTAGGGAGGATGGCTCTGCCACTGTTTCAGTTTTATCTTGTTACTTTGAAGTGGTTTGATGGCTTGATAGACCCTGGGTCTGATGTCTGATACATGATGATTTGAAATCCGAAAGGTGTTTGGTGTTACTATACTGCTCTTACGTGACTTCAAAATTCAGACAATACTATTATCAAATGAATAGACTTTGCACCTTCATAGGTTTCCCTATACAGTCTAAACTTCAAGAATTTAGTCTCACAGTGTCAATGAGAAAAAGAGAATGGAAGACACTTAAAAGTTAAGTATCATACAATCATCAGTAACTTGGAACAACAGGGTGAACAAAAAAGAACCAACTTGCATATTTTGTTATTACCTATTCCAGAAGGGAATTCCCAAGGCCACAAGAAAATGCTTTCTGTCAACAGTGAGTCTGAGATGTGGCTGTGATGCCTGTTTGGACACAGGATGGCTTGAAGAGTCACACAAAGCTGGACATTGACTGAAACGAAGTGGCTTTGGAGAAATTCGTGGCCCTGAAAGCTCTCAGAGAGGACGTGTCACCCTGACAGCAGGCTTCAGGGAAAGCTGGCATGCAGTCCTCTGTCATCCTGAGCCTGTGACATTGACCAGGTCCCTTGGTCCACATGATATGCCCAAAATGAGGATCAGGTGATACTGGCTTCTCCTGTGTAAAGCAAGTTATCATTGTTGCATCAGTTACTTAGAGGTCCTTGACTAGAACCTGATTTTTGAGACTTGAATCACAGCATAACCCTCTGTGGTGGTTGTGTCACCTTTTCAGGATGTGGTACTCCTCATCTGCGTCAGTATGCATGATGAACCCCTGCGCTTAATCTCAGATCTGGGGCTCAGATGGTTGGTCTCTGGATGAAAGAGCACTCGATGACCCAGCTGAGTATGTGAGTGTGGTGTGGTGTGGTGGAGGTTTTCACTGAATCTTTAAACCTACTGTAGGTGTGCTGGGAGTCTTGCTCTTCTCTGAGCCATTGCGTTTCACAAACTATGTTTTGGCCACTATTTATAGATACTCTATGAAGTTTGCCTTTCTTCTGTTTTTGAAAATAGGAAAGCATGCCTTATCAGCTCTCTCTGCCCTCATTTCTCATTTTTAGTTAGCAATAGTTTCTTGCATTCTGCTCTATGAATTTATCGTTACTGCTACACCTACTATTTATTTATTATTTATTTTCCTCTGGTGTTAAAACTGAAACTACTATTGCTACTTCTAACTACTAAGCATTTATTTCTTGCTAGGAAATCTCAGCAGGAAAATTATAACTGCTCATATAAGAATTGCTCCTCAATATTGTTTTTAAATAGTCCTTTGATGTTCAGTCCAGTGCCTTGCCCCATCCCCTTTTTAATAGCTGGAGCCTGAGGCCCAGAAGTGACTTACTGTGAGGAACATAAGTCAATACCAGAGCTGACCAGCAAGTGAGGAAATGGAAGGAAGGGGTCCGAGATGTTTGCCATGCGTATTCCTTCTAGATCGTGTTGTGTGAAATCGTTTTCCCAGTGTGGGCGTGGTTTCCTGGCCTGAATTTTCCAGGTACTCTATATTCAGCGCTCTCCCTCACACTTTAATTCCATTTTAGACACACACAGGGGAGTGGGAAGGGCCTGATTAAATCAACTATTTTTTTTTTAAACTTTTATCTTCTGGTTTAATGTGGCTAATATGAGAAGAAATTGAAATGCTAACCAGAATGCCATTTGAGATAATAGAATTTATAATCCATATTTTATGGCCGTCCCCTATTACCTGTCCTAGATAAACAGGAGTTGAATGTCTTGTGTCCTGATTTTTATGGTCTCTTGGTTACTACAATAACAAGATCACTCAATCAATGGAGACTGTTCCATTATAGAATATCCGTGTTCACTCTGCGTTCTCTTTATTTCATCTATCAGCAGTGAATAGCACTTTCATGTTTAAGATGCTCCCCTTTTAAGTTGAAGAACAAGAATAAATGTATTGAATGGCTTTGTTCAGTAGCAGCATTGTCCTTTAGACCCACTGAGAAATCTTAAGAATGAAACCATCATAAATAGGCAAACAGGTAATGTTTCAGTAAATACTTGTGGCTAGTATGTTTCCTTTTTAACCAAGAGCCCAGTAAAATTTGTAATGACTTCAAATGACTAAGAACACAAGGCCATTTAGTGTCCTCAATATTTATTGATATGCTTTGCTTATTTTAATGGCTTGCATATATTTTTTATGAATAATGGTTTTATATAATTCGTACTGATACACAATAAAAGTCTCATTGTGTTCACATTCCTTTGTGAATCTCCTCTTTTGCATGTTGATTGTGGTTTCATGCTAAAACTGTAAAAATGTACATACAGTACTGTTTTCATTTTCCTCGTTACTACAAGATATGTGATAAACTTACTTCTGTATATGTCATTTTCATTTCTCTTTCAACATTTCTTTTTTATGAAAGAAGCCAATACTTAAGAAATTTTATCATCTATTATTTTCTTATTCTCTGTTTTATAAAATCCATAGAAATTATTTCCTCAGCTCCACCTAAATAAGGAGTTTTAAATTGTAATTGGAGGGACTGTTGATTGATTGATTGATCAAGTCTCGCTCTGTTGCCCAGGCTGGAGTGCAGCTAGAAATGATCTCTTTTTCCTTTAATCTCTAATAACATTAGCTATTTTAATTTTTTTAGTTAACAGGTAACATATATTTTTGTGTCATAGTTACTTTGTATTGTATTCATGCCGTAACTCATTGTACTTTTTGAGGATAGGGTCTATCATTGCTTTTGCCTCAAGATAGCACAGTGCCTAGCATACAGTAAGTGTTTAAACACTAAAAGAAATGCATAGTAAAATTGACTTCTTTCTTTTTATCTTTAGGTCTACAAATTTTAACACTTGTGTAGATTTGGGCGACCACCACCACAAGTAGGATACAGAACACTCTAAATAACTTCCTGTGCTGTCACTTTAGAACACCCTACCCTTCTTCTCTCCCTTGCCAGGCACTGATCTATTCTTCATTACTGTAGTTCTGTTTTTCCCTAGGATGTCACATAAATTGAACCATTAGTCTATAGTCTTTTGAGGCTGGCCCCTTTTACTCAACCATAAAGCCTTTGAGATTATCAAAGTTTGTTGCATGTATCAATGACGGCTTCATTTTTTATTGTTGAGTAATAGTCCCTTATATGGATGTAAAACAGTTTGTTGCTGGACATTTGGGTTGTTTCCAAATTGGCAGTTATAAAGAGCTATAAATGTTTGTGTACAGGTTTAAGCAAGTGCTTTTTGAATAAACACATGAATAAACAATTAGTATAATTTCAACCATGTGGTCTTATGGACTGCTATACATAAGCAAAATTTGTGATAAGCCTCATTGGAGGCACATAGAGAAATGGACATATATATAATATTTATATATATTATATAGATACATAAAGATTATATATAATGAATAGTTCTAAAATAGACATACAACGTTTTTTTCAGATTTCAAAAAAAGATGGGATTACTTCTGGCTAGTTGTGGATGTGGGTAAAGTATCATCATATTATTTGGATTCTGAAATCCAATAATTGCTTCCCAAACTCAGGCTTGACACTGCAAACCAAAGAAATCCATGAACCTGCTCAAAGATTTGCTTATCTTGTAATTTTATATAGAATTAATTGACTATTTTAAAAATGCTTCCAAGAAGTCCAGAATGTCTGTTTATATCATTGACAGAATTACTCCCTATGATTCAGAAATACAACACACTTTAAATATAGTTTTTAAAAGATGTTGTCATTGTAGACATTCTCAGAAATTTCACATAGAGCAAGAGATTCTCAAAAATTTCAAATAGAATAAGACACTCTCAGAAAATTCAAAGTAGTACAAAGTATTTTGACTTCCCCTTCTAGAAAAATCTTTCACTTTTAGGGAGAACTGAGTTTTAGACCTGGGTTTAACTACAAACTAGGTAAAAAGCATCAGACAAGTTGTTTTAACTGCTTGAAACTGTTTTCTCATCTCCAAAACTGAGATTACTACTGGCCACCAAGTAGGACAGCTAATTTCAAGAGATCATGTGTAAAATGCTTGTCATGGCTGGGCACAGTGGCTCACACCTGTAATCCCAGCACTTTGGGAGACTGAGGCTGGTAGATCACCTGAGGTCAGGAGGTCAAGATCATCCTGGCCTATATGGTGACATCCCATCTCTACAAATTTTCTACAAAAATTAGCTGAGCATGATGGCGGGGGTGCCTGTAATTTCAGCTCTTCAGGAGGCTGAGATGGGAGAATGGCTTGAACTCAGGAGGCAGAGGTTGAAGTGAGCCAAGATCGTGCCATTGCACTCCAGCCTGGGCGACAGAAGTGACTCCATCTTAAAAAAAAAAAAAAAAAAAAAAATGCTTGTCACATAATATTCGTTCAATAAATGCTAAATCCTGTCTCTAAGCTTCAACTTGCTTATCTTTGAAATGCAGGACTAAGAGTAGATGATTTCTATCATTTTTCTAGCTCTGGATTTCTTTTTTTCTTTTTTGTGATGGAGTGAGTTACGAACAGGTATATCTTCCAGACACACAGTTCTCTAAATTGGTAAGTAAAATATTATGTCTCAATCCTCTTTTATACTCCAGTTTGACTTGCATTAGGTAATTTACAATACAATTTTAATTTTTTTTTTTCTGTTTCAAATTACTCTGGAGGCAATAGGGAAGATTAGATATAGTGATCCAGGCTTTCCAATTAAGGAATGTACTTGATGATCATGAAGGAACGATGACACAAAATGTCTGACCTTGAGCTCAAAGATTCCCAATTGTGCTATAGAACTTTTTGTTTTTTGTCAGTCTGGCGTCCACCTTTACAATTCTAATGTATATTCCTAAAGCACAGAGAACATGAAAAAGTCACAGACCTCTAACCAAGGCCTCAGACTGATGGTCAGGAGGAAATTTAGAAGTGAGTATTGAGCACTAATATTTCTGGGATTCAGTGGCACAAAGGGCCACAGTATCTCTCGGAAAGGCTTACATTTGGTGATAGCAAACATGCTTATTTTTAAAAGAAGGAAATATTTAGTTGGATCTTAGAAACTATAGGCCAATGGGCTTTATGTTAACCATTGTCAAAATTGTAGAATGAATGATAAAATAATCAGTTTATAGAAAAGTAGGACATTTTCCTACATAATTACAACACATTCAAGACACTCAGGAAATTTAACATTGGTATAATGTTACTTCCGCAATTGTCTTACTGATGTCCTTTTAGCATTTTTCTTCTTCTTTTGAGAGGGAGTCTCATGCTGTTTTGCCCAGGCTGGAGTGCAGTGGCATGATGTCGGCTCACTGCAACCTCCACCTTCTGGGTTCAAGCAATTCCCCTGCCTCAGCCTCCCAAGTATCTGGGACTACAGGCGCCCACCACCATACCTGGCTAATTTTTGTATTTTTAGTAGAGATGGGGTTTCACCATGTTGGCCAGAATGGTCTGGAATTCCTGACCTCAGGTGATCCACCTGCCTCAGCTTCCCAAACTGCTGGGATTATAGGCGTGAGCCACTGTGCCTGGCCATATTTTTCTTCTTTAACACAGAATTTCTCTTTCTTTTGTTTTTATACAAATAGTAACATATTCAGTTCTTGCTTTTCTGTTATTTATTTGAGACAAAGTCAGACTGGAGTACAGTGGAGCAATCTAGGCTTGCTGCAACCTCAGCCTCCCAGGCTCAAGTAATTTTCCCAACCTCTTGAGCAGCTGAGACTATAGGTGTGCACTAGCACACCTGGCTAATTTTCATATTTTCTGTAGAGACAGGATTTCGGCAGTTGCTCAGGCTGGTCCTGAATTCCTGGGCTCAAGTCCTCCTCCTGCCTTGGCCTGTCAGAGTGCTGGGATTACAGGCTTGAGCCACCATGCCTGATCTTTGTTTATTTTTTTATTGTTTAAAATTTTATCTTGCCAACAGCAATTTTTTTTTAAAAAAAGTTAAGATCTCTCCCTTCTTTTTAATATAAGTAGTATCATATGTTACACTTTTTTGGAGGGAATGGGGGGAGATTATTTGGTTTTAGTTACTGTTTAAAAATTTAGTCCTGGCTCAGTGGCTCAGGCCTGTAATCTCAGCACTGTAGGAGGTTGAGGTGGTGGATCACTTGAGCTCAGGATTTGGAGACAAGCCTGGGTAATATGGCAAAACCCCATCTCTACTAAAAATACAAAAAATCAGCCGGACGTGGTAGCCCATGCCTGTACTCCCTAGCTACTCAGGTGACTGAGGTGGGAGTGTCACTTGAGCCCAGGAGTTGAAGGCTGTAGTGAGCCATGATTGTGCCACTGCACTCTGGCCTGGGTAATGAAAGGAGAGAGACCCTGTCTAAAAAAAGAAAAAGAAAAAGAAAACAAATCTTGGCAGTTATTCTCTGTCCTTACATAAGAGCTTTATCATTTATTTTCTATTGTCAAATGGTATTCCAGTATATGGCTATACTATAATTAATTTGACTCGGCTACAACTGATGGATATTTATACTATTTTCAATAATTTAGGATTACAAGCAGTGCAGTGATAAATAACATTGTATTTCATTTTATACAACAGCATGTCTGTCTCTAGGATGAATTCCTGAAAAATTGCTAAGTACGTGCATATATTTCCATACATATTGTCAAATTATTCTGATAGGGTAATTGCCCTACATCAACACTGTATGAGAATGCCTGTTTACCAAAAGCATTACCAACACAGAACTTACCAAGCATTTTGTGATTTTAGGACATTATTGATAGATCCTTTATTTTCTAAAGATTTTTCTCTCAAGCTCATGGAAATGCTTGACTCCCTGTATTTAGTCTTACCACTCTTAAATCCATTCTTTATAGAGCTGCCCATAATGGTACTACCATCTTGTGTAAAATCCTATAATGGCTTCTCTGTAGACTGGGATAAGGACTTCTCAGTGCAGCTTCGTCAGGTTTTTGCTTGAATCTTTAACCGCATCCCTCACTATCCCCTCAGTGATGGCCTCTCCCTCCCCAGTTCTGCTCTAACCTTGTTCAACCACTAACAGTTTCCCTCTAATGCCCAATGTTTGTGTCATTCACAGCTTTTGCCAACTTGCTGTTCTTTCTTGGGATGCTTTGACCCTTTTTCATCTTATTGCATTACCCAGTCTGTTTTAAATTAGGTGCTCCTGTTGCATGCTGCCTAACTTCCCAGGTTTATGTTTTTCCCTGGATTTATCAGGGTTGATGCTGGCTGGTTCACTTTTTCTACTGGATT